ATTATAATGCTATGTAACCTTACTCTTACTTTTCAAGTCGATGAAAACATGATGTAGCAAAATAAATACTCGAGAATTTAAGATCGGTAATTAAGGGTCTGTTCTCTTTACCCTTTTTTGTTTTCGATTTTTCAAAATAACGAAAACACGTTCTCTTCCCTATTTTAAAAAAAATGCGTTTTTGAAAATGAAAAAAAAAATTTACACACAAAACTAAAAACGTCCAAAAGCTTGTTTTCATCATTTTGAAGCCAAAACAAGCTAGTTTTCACAAAACACGAGAAATGAATTCTCAGACTTATCATCCATCTCTCGTAACATAGGGCTTCCTCTGGTTTTCCTCTTCCAATCTCACAACCCATGACAATTTATTCCTGCTCGTGTTGCCAAATTTGCGGGTTTTCTACCGGCTCTTTTAATCAGGTTTCCCTACTCTCACCACTATCCCTCTTATCAATCAATTTGCTTTTTTTTTTTTACATATTTATTTTCGAAAATAGGAAAACCCAGTAGAGATTTCTTGAATCTAGGGTGTAGTCGAGTGAAGCTTCTGCACCGATTTTCTGGTCAATGGAACTGTTGTGAAAAAAAAAAGGCATATGTTGTTGGTGAAATTCTAGAGGGATAGATTATTGGAGGCAAATATAGCATTTGATGGGGAATAATTGCGTAGGTCCCAATGTGGGAAAACATGGCTTCTTGCAGTTTGTCACCGCTGCAGTTTGGAAAACCCGGGAGCCGGAAACGCTCCCGACACCCAATCAGCAGCAAGAAGGAAATAGTAGTAACGAAAAGAATTTAGAGGGTAGAGGTTCTGGTTCTACCATCGCGCCTACATAGCCAATAATTGCTGGTGAGCATGCCAAACCAGATCCCCAAAAGGAGGCAGGGCAAGGTAACAAACCAAATCACTTTAAGAGATTATCAATGTAGGCCTACAATTAATTGATTTAGTGATAATATTACTAGGCTGCTAGAGTTTGAAAACAAAAGAAATTATTCTAGTGATACTATTACTAGATAGCCTATTAATATAAGCCCAAACAGGCTTGGCCAGTCTCAAGTATTTTCAAAAAATACTATCTCGAGAATTCATAACTTCTCTATAAGTTTTAAGAACAGTTTCCACTTGTAGAACAAAAGGAATTATTCTTACAACATTCTTCTCATTTTCTTCTACAAGTAGAACGAAATAAGTTAAGAGTCAATTTCATCACGTCCTAAAGACTTCTCAACTTGAGTTCTTTTTTTCCTTCGATGTTCACTAGATTTATTAACATCTTTAGAACATGTTTCATCCTATGTTCCACTAGAGCTTGAGATTTCATTATTAATTTCCCTTAATTAATTTTCTGAAGATAATGAATTCTCGAAAAACTCTACGTCGATGGATTCAATAATCACATTGGGCTCCAAATTCAACAATCTATATGATTTGTTATTACTAATATATCCAATAAAGGTACATTTGATGTCTTTTGAACCTAACTTGGTCATATTTGAGTTCGTGTTCTTACAATAAGCAAAACACCCCCACACTTTGAAATATCCAATGTATGATTTTCTTCATTTCCACAATTCAAAAGGAGAAACCTTAGTAAATTTCGAAAGAATTCCATTTAGTATCCTATATGCACTCAATAATGTTTCACCCCATAAATTAAATGGCAATTTAGCATAAATGAACATGACAATTATCATTTCAACTAAAGTTCTATTTTTTCTTTCAGATAAATCATTTTGTTCGGGTGTCCTAGGTGTAGATATTGATAAATTATGTCTTATTGTTCACAAAATGAGTTAAAATCACTAGGAAAATATTCACCTCCTCTATCACTTCGTAGAATTTTTATTTTCTTACTTAAATGATTTTCTACTTCATTTTTATATGTCTTAAACATATTGGCAACTTAGCATAAATTAACATGATAATTATCATTTCAACTAAAGTTCTATTTTTTCTTTCAGATAAACCATTTTGTTCGAGTGTCCTAGGTGTAGATATTGATAAATTATGTCTTATTGTTCACAAAATGAGTTAAAATCACTAGAAAAGTATTCACATACTCTATCATTTCTTAGAATTTTTATTTTCTTACTTAAAAGTGATTTTCAACTTCATTTTTATATACTCTAAACATGTCAAATGCTTTATGTTTATGTTTCATCAAGTAAACATATATATATCTAAAATAATCTTCTATAAAGGTAATAAAATACCTATTTTCACCTCTAGTCAACATGGCATTTAATTCATATATATCCGTATGAATTAATTCTAGGATACTAGAAGTTCTTTTTACACTTTGATAAGATTTCTTAATCATTTTAGATTTTACACATGTTTCACATTTAAATGCATCGTTTTCATTAAATGATATTAAGTCACATTTCAACATTTTTTCATGGTACTCTTACCTATGTGACATAATCTAGCATATTATATTGTAAATGAATCAAGAATATAAGTAGAATCAACTTTATTATTAATCAATTTGTCAACGGTACATAATTTGATAGTTCATTCACAAGAATAGTCCTTTCCAACAAATTTCTCATTTAGGGATAATACAAGTTTACTGAATTTATAAACACATTTTATACCCGATTTTCCTAAAAGATTTGCACTAAGTTCCTATTCATATCCGAAACATGTAGTATACTTGTCAAAGTAACAGTCCTGCTGGAAGTGAAGACGATATCTACATTTTTTTTTCCAAATACTTTGAATCAAACTTCATTACCTATCTAAATCTCTTATTCTCCATCCACTTCATAATAAGTTCTGAGTAAGGACTTATCATATGATACATGTACAGTTGCACACGTATCATACCACCAACCGAGAACATTTCCCTTGATAGCATTAATTTCGCATACGGTGGCCACAATGTTATATTCCTTAATGGAGTTTACTTTTCCTTCGAAATTGTTTTTTTTTTCCGATGTCGACATTATTTTGCATAATGTTCAGGTTTTCCACACACAAAACAACCACCTTTGGTATTCTTCTTGGACTTGTTAAAGTGCCTTGAAAGTTTCTCTTGTTGGATTTATTAGAAGGCTCGATCTTTTCCACGGTATTGGCTTTTGAAGTGCCTTCATAAGAATTGTCATTCTTATCTATTGTTCTTGATTCTTTCTCAATTCGAAGATATTTCTGCAATTGTTCCAAAGGATAGTTTTCGGAACTATGCATGATTTTCTTCTGATATCCTTTCCAAGTCCGAGAAGTTTTGCAATAATTGCTCCCACTTGGAAAGTTTCTGGAATCTCTATTTTGTCTGCTTTCAACTTGTTGACAAGCACTTGTAATTCATGAATTTGGAGAAGAATTGATATATTCTCAAGAAATTTAAAATCAAAGTACCTTGAAATTAAAAATTTCTTTGTACGTTCCTTTTTTACTTTGAACTTACTTTATAAAGTGTTCCAGATTTTCTTTGATGATGATGTGTTGGTGTAGAGATCATATAACCGGTCGGCTAACGCATTGAGAATGTGACCGTGGCATATGAGTTCATCTTCTTGACGCTTTTGTCTTTAGCTCTCACGGCACCAGTTTCTCTATTTGTTGATTCCAGTAACGGTGCCAAATCTGGATCAAGGATGTAGAATATCTTCAACGCCGTTAGTAAGAACTTCAATTTATCTTGCGATCTCGCAAAATTGGTTCCATCAAAGCGATCCAATCGATCAAGATCTTGATTCATCAACTTGATCATCGCAATAGTGCTTTCATTTTCCATTGCACAAGGTATAGTTTGAGATTGCTGAAAAATATATAAGGTGCACAAAGAGGTATGGAGATGAAAGCAAAGAACAAAAAATCAGAAAATTTGTGAAAACAAAAAGAAGATCAATGAGAAGATGAACAAGAAGGCCCGAACACGAAACCTTTGTCCTCAAACTATATTTGTCCCCTCTCGAATTGAAAATAATGCTTAAAGGGATTATGACAAATGGTTTAAAGGATAAATCAAGTCTCGTAAAGGATTTAACACTTAAACACTAGTGAAAATCTTCAAAACCTTGAAGAACACAAAAGGGAAATTTTTGAATATATATGAAGGAATTTTTGATTTCAATGTGTGGAATAAAAATGTTTTTAAGAATGAAATATTTCATCTTGCCTTGAACATGATCACCTATATATAGACATCAAATGTCTTCCATGAAATGGTGCCAAATTCACATGAAAAGTCACCAAATTTAAAAAGACAACGGCCATAAAACAGTCGTCTAACGGCTAACTAGTTGTTCTATGCGGTCACAACCCTATGCGGTCGCATAGAACAACCAGTTGTAGGGCATTTAATCCCTGCAACAGCCTATGTGACCGCAAGCCTTCGTAGCCTATGCAGTTGCATAGGCCAAAATAAAGGCCTCCGGTTCCATTTTTTTAATTCACGTCCCCTTTTATTTATTTTGAACAATATTTCCAACAGACAGATGTGTCGAGGCCTTCACCTAATGTGGCGACGAACATGTGGATCTGCTATGTGCCTCCGTGCTGAGAGCCTACATGGCACTCACTGCCTTGCTTTTGTGCCTTCATGGAGCCTTCGTTGGATTAGTGTGTAATAGGGACCTCATTATGATGCAATTTAATTAACTATTTAAATTAGATGTCTCGTTCTAGCATAGTATATAGGTAGACAAAGATTTCGAATCTCAATCTACTCATTATTTATGAAGGTTTTACACATACTCTACTTTTGATTATAAAATCGTGGACTAAAGCAAATTTAACGTTTAAAATATTTTTATGTAACAATTAAGGTAAGTTTCTAATGTAGCTTGTATGGCTGAAAAAACATGGACCAAAAGCAATAAATAGTATATATTTAAAGATAAGGTGATTGAATATAATTGAAGACAATAGGGACCGAATTAATTCATAATATCCCCACAGATACTCGTTCTTTGAACTGTCAACATTTAAATATTTCCCCTTGTAACATAAATGTCATCAAATAAATTAATTTCCCATCGGAAAACTATGATTTCCGGCTGTTCGCCGGCAATGCCATTAGGCTGATAACTACATCGGCGAATGCTCCGACGATGAATTTGTGGGTGCTTTCAGGGTTCAACGAAAGATAGCACATAAGAAGCTCATGCAAATAATCCCAGTTGGCTCTCACGTCGACGAGGTCACGTGCCTCCACCATTTCTTGCATGGATCGCCGAAAATCCATGAAGGGGTCCGGCGAATACGTCGAAATGGCAATGCTTCCGGCTACGAGGGTGTCGGGATTTGTGAGATTCTCCGGCGAGCACGATGAGGTGGATGCTAGTGATGAAGACACAGATGATGAGTCGATGATAGAGTTGGAGCGGCCGGGGGATGAGAAGAAGAAGCGTTGGGAGGCGAAGGCGGTGGCAAAGTCCGGTGTAGTGTTGGCGTCGGCTTCAGAATCTGATAAAGAGTGGTGGTCAAAGGAGGAGGAGGCGGCGGCGCAGTCCAAGGTGAGTCGTTGGAGAGATGGTTGAGAAGATGACAAAGATTTGATCTCTGTGAAGCAGAGATTAAGGTTTTTGGGCATTGCTTATGACTTTCCTTGATTCAAACACAATAAGAACAAACAATGCACTCCGAGAGAGAGAGAGAGAGAGTTGTATGTATGGTAGATGAATAGTATGTTACTGTTCAGACAGGAGTTTGGAATACTGACCCGTTATATTTATGAGTGCGCAGAAAGAGAAGCGGGTGGGGGTTGTTGGGGGTGCCGTGTTTACTGTTAAGTTAGAATTGCAAGTATGAAAATAGACGGGGAATTATTCACTGGCAACACGGTGTATTTTTTGTCGTTATTGGGTCCAAAACTAATAAAAAATTGTCAAATATTGTTCTGTAAAAATTTTGTCAATTTTTCTATACCTGTAACATAATCGATAAAAATATTAACTGACATATAAATGATTAGGATAAAGCTACTTGTACATAATTTCTTGTACATAATGGTGTCCACCCTCTCACATGAGATAGACCCCACATGAATAAAATAAGAATTTTAATCATGCGGGGTCCACCCCATGTGAGAGGGTGGACACCCTTATGTACAAGAAATTATGTACAAGTAGCATAGTTCTATTAAATTTATATTTATCTAATATTCAGCCATGTAGAAAATTGTTCTCTATGGTTCCTAATTGTAC